AGCTTTGTTATCCGGCATATTCGCATTCGGAATGCTCTTGTAACCGGAAATTTCAATATCTTCAAATTGTAGAAACCGACAATCATTTAAATTTCCATCCAGAATGTTTCGGAACGATCTAGATAGTTCACGGCTGTAGTTAACCGACGCTACCGTTTAGGGGCATTGCTGTGGCTTTCATAACGTTCTTTCCTGCTGGCAAGTTTCATCAATTAGCTGTCACTATATTGTGTTACTATATCTTATATAGTGTACTTATGCTTTTATACATTTTACGGTTTTTATTATTGTTTAAAACTGTTATTGTTATAGATGGTGGAGAGAAACTGTACTTTAGAGTGTTAAATTTTTTCCTGTAAAATACCTAAAGAAAACGTTTTACTAATCGGAACTTAGGCCTATCCGGCGCTGCCCAGGTCCGGTCTATGCCAGATCTCAACTTAAAGCGTTACTGTATATATAATGTATTTTCATATAAGGGTGTTTTATTGTATTATCAACTTGAAATATATAACTAAATTATTCGTACTAGAATTCATTTCACTAAAATCAACTTATCTTTGTTGGTATGGTAAATATCCATATCTGATTTAGAACGACCACTATAGAGGAAGAAATATGATTAATTGTTCTATTTCAGCAATAAAACGAGTTTTGTGGACGTCCAGAAACGTTACAAGAACAATGATTTAATAGAGACTGTCGTGAATTTTCGCTAGTCGGTAATACAGCTTGTTTATTTACGTTTTATTTTGTATATGGTATAGTTGACTTCGGAGAAGACCAAACAGAATTATTCGACTATTTGCCTCCTCCTCCTCCCTGTCCTGACACACAGTTAAAGGAAAACAGCGAGGTCAACAGACCTGTTTCCTCCACTGCATCAGCAGCAGCTCAACATCCAATCAAATCAGCATCATCTGGTGGAACAATGTATGTCTGTTTTTTTTTCTTTGAAGTTGTTTTTATTTTTTTGGTTTGACGTCACTGGCATGAACTCAATTCTTCTTTCCCACCAGAAACAGTATTATTTGAAGTTCCTTTCTTGGTTTGAATTTATTCATTGTGTAGTGAAACGTTCATGTTGACCATGAAGTGAATACAAGTCACACAACAAGACAAGTAATCCATGTTAGTCTTAGTAAGTTAGGCTACTACCTACGAGTTTGGGTCTTGTAACGTTTAATTGGTTACTGGCCAATTTTTTTTACCGTAACAGTTCTTTGAACATGACACAAAATACGTCTAACTTGATAAATTAAAACATCATACAATATTATTCATTTCTGTAGCCTGTAGCCTACGTTGTGTGACATGGCCTAACACTTCTTTAAACATGACACAAGATACGTCTTACTTGATAAATTAAAACAGCATACAAGATTATTCATTTCTGTAGCCTGTAGCCTACGTTGTGTAACAAGGCCTAACACTTCTTTAAACATGACACAAAATACGTCTTACCTGATAAATTAAGACAGCATACAAGATTATTCATTTCTGTAGCCCGTAGCCTACGTTGTGTAACAAGGCCTAACACTTCTTTAAACATGACACAAAATACGTCTTACTTGATAAATTAAGACAGCATACAATATTATTCATTTCTGTAGCCGTAGCCTACGTTGTGTAACAAGGCCTAACACTTCTTTAAAGATGACACAAAATACGTCTTACTTGATAAATTAAGACAGCATACAATATTATTCATTTCTGTAGCCTGTAGCCTACGTTGTGTAACAAGGCCTAACACTTTTTTAAAGATGACACAAAATACGTCTTACTTGATAAATTAAGACAGCATACAAGATTATTCATTTCTGTAGTCCGTAGCCTACGTTGTGTAACAAGGCCTAACATTTCTTTGTTATAAGAATATTTTTTTGTCATTTTCAGTAGGGTTACTCTAGGTTCTCTGAACCATTTGAATATCCCACTACTCTGTTTCATTAATATTGTTGCGTCATCGAGATCATGTGATTCTCACGCTCTCTACTTTCTATAATTATCCTGTACTTTGGCGAATGTTCTAGTTCTTACTAGATATAGGGTAGGCGGGTATATATAAGAGGGGACAACGTGACGCGGTAATGTAATGTGTGCGTAGATAGTGAGTAATTGATCTGCAGTCAGAAGTATTATTGAGCACGTTCGTCGTTATAGCGTTTGTTTAGCGCGATTGTTGAAGTTGAGTGTATCGGTAAAGTTGTATTCGGAAAGAATAAACCAGTCTTTATTAAGAAAGAACTTGTGTCGCTTAAGTTTCGTCGGAACGAAGTTACGGAAAATCAATTAACAAACGGAGACGTAACAATATCTTACTAACACTGTTCTCTGAATACATTGTTACAATCTACTATTCGCTGGTTACACCACTACTCTGTTCACTCTCAGTGTGTTAGTTTCGTGTAGCTTAAATGAAGAACAGGTTATTTTGTTATTTTCTTTTGATACATGTGGTGTTTATTTTTTCCCGTGTTATAAATATTTGTTAAATATTTTTGTAAATAAATACGTTACAAATTCAGCCACTAGATAATTTATTCTACTGTTTTTGATCACATTGGTTTAAGGTTAGGTCAGGATATTTCTGGAAACTAAAAACCCCATTAGCTGTAACAGAAATATTACAGACCCACTTAAGAGAAATTGCTTGAGTATATTAATGCGTTTTTTTTAAGCACAGAGCTGTACGAAAGGCTGTCTGCACCGAGCCCGCTTTAGGGTTCGACCCCGAATTTTGACTTTACTATCCATCTAGCCCACTAGAGGACATCGTTTGGATAAATATAATGGTTGTGATATTTAAGAGATGTTTAACAAAACGAAATGTCTCGTGTGGTCCTTCAAATTGAAAACAAAGCAAGTCACATTAAAAGATAAGCACTCGGATCTTTATGTTAGTCTTAATGGTGCTACTGCTTTAATCAAAAGTACGTGAGATTATGATACAAATTATGAAGTTTCTTTGTTGTAAAACACAAAGCTACACCATGGAATATCTATGCTGTGCCCACCGCCAGTATCGAAACTCGATTTAAGCGTTTAAAGCTCTCAAACGTAACGTTAGCCACCAGGGGCGAAATCAAAGATACATGACATTTTGAACATATAAAATTGGCCTATCTTAATGCTTGTCAGAAACAATGCTTCGAATTGTGTAGTAAAACTGGAGACTCGCAACAGGTGAGTGTTATTTTCAACTATTTGTGTATCTAAGTTCAAATCTGTAAGACATCCTTCAATCCCAAAATAGGGCCAAAATTTATAAAAGAGAAACCAATGAATGAATTGGAATTAAGAAATGTTCACGTCATCATCATTATTATTATATAAAACAATAATGGTAAATTATTCACATTTATAAACACGTAGTTAAAATAGACCAGTTAAATCATGTTAATAATGCATTTTCTCTTAACGTTAATGTAATGTCGCTTCCTGCAAAATATTTAAGAAATATCCATTATTTTTCCAAAAAAAAACAACAACAACTTAAAACATCCTAATAGAATATTAGATCTGGTTCGGCATAAAAACTTGGTACAACCTAACAATAAACACAATAACAATTGTTATTGTGTTTATTGTTATTGTGTTTATTGTTAGGTTGTTTATTGTTATTGTGTTTATTGTTATTGTGTTTATTGTTAGGTTGTTTATTGTTATTGTGTTTATTGTTATTGTGTTTATTGTTAGGTTGTTTATTGTTATTGTGTTTATTGTTAGGTTGTAAACAATAAATACAATAACAATAACACAACCTAACAATAAACACAATAACACAACCTAACAATAAACCCAATAACACAACCTAACAATAAACCCAATAACAATAAACAACCTAACAATAAACAGGTTGTTTATTGTTATTGTGTTTATTGTTAGGTTGTTTATTGTTATTGTGTTTATTGTTAGGTTGTTTATTGTTATTGTTAACAATAAATACAATAACAATAACACAACCTAACAATAAACACATTAACAATAAACAACCTAACAATAAACACAATAACAATAAACAACCTAACAATAAATACAATAACAATAACACAACCTAACAATAAACACATTAACAATAAACAACCTAACAATAAACACAATAACACAACCTAACAATAAACCCAATAACACAACCTAACAATAAACCCAATAACAATAAACAACCTAACAATAAACACAATAACACAACCTAACAATAAACCCAATAACAATAAACAACCTA